GCAGTCATGACAAATCTATCAGAGATGAGGAATCCACCGCAGATATGATGCTCCTTTGTCTCAGTTATTTTTCTTACAAAAGCGCATCAATTTGCTACAGGATGCATTTGTTCACCCCCCGGAGCCGTGTGAGGCACTTTATATTATGGATGGATGCACTTTATTTCACTTCTTTTGGACTGATGAACTGCAACACCCGCTGACTGCCATTAAACAGCTTGGAAAATCAAAACACATTTTTTTTTTTTAGTTATACGTTTTTTTAGTTTCCTACTCTAGTAATATTTTTTCTAGTTTTTGCTTAGCATTGGTCACTTTCATCTGTCTTGTTTTGTGTTGCTGTGTCTCTTGTATGTTCTAGTACTGTCCTGCAGGCTGAGCATCCTGGCCAATCACTGTTTCTGCCAAGCAGCAGGACCTGTGCAGTGCCTGAGAGACCATAAGTGTTTAGGCTCCTGTATTAAGTGTTCCTGCCAGGCCATCGCTGCTCTCCATCTGTCTTGCTCTGCCCTGCCATTACTGCTCACCAGTCCACTGTCATCCTGGGCTGAACTCACTCTCTCTGCCTACCTGTCTTTGAACCTCGCCCCTGCTTATTGTTTGGACTGTGTTCACCCCCTCCTCACCTTCTCTTGTTTTCTCTGCAGTTTTGCCGATAAACTCGTTATCACTCATTTTGCATTAGAGTCCTCTCTCATAGATCCATGACAGAACAAAACAGGACTCTGCAGAATGAGCATCAGAATCCTGCCATCTGCTAATGCCCAGGAGAGACATGCCCATCTGACTGCCCTTCACCAACATGGTCGGGCTGTGGGAGCTTTTGCCCAGTTTTTCTGAACAATGACTGTGGGGCTATATTATGATGATGCAACCCTCAAGGATATCTTTAATGCCTGCTTAGATGACCCCCTGCCTAAGTGGGAGATGGATGATCTCAAGATTTAGAATTTCTTAGTCATCATATCCGGTGGGAAATGCCTCGTCGACCTGAGTCAGCCTGCAGCGACGACCCTGCCCACCCTCCCTCATCATTTCAAGATTCACTTCTGACTCCAACTAACAAACAAAGGTCAAAAAAGAAGGCAGTCTAGTCTATTACATCCACCCCAGAGTCTGCTGAGATCGCCCTTGTTTCCCCTGAGACAGTCAAGTCAACTGTCATCTCCCAGGCAATCAAGTCAGTAGCAGTCACTTTTAAGTCAACACCTGTCATCCACAAATCAGTCGCGTCCACTTTTGTTATCCAAGAGCCAATCAAGTCACCCACAGTCATCTCTCAGACATTCAAGTCAGTTCCATCCACTTGTGAGTCTGCTGAATCAACATCTGTCTTCCCAAAATCAGCCAAGAGTACTCCTGATATTTCTGTGCCAGTTAAGTGTTGTCCCTCTGTCTACTAAGTCTGTTCCAGTCACTTCTGAGTCTGCTGGATCTGTTTCAATTGCCACTGAGTTCAACTGCCACTGAGTTTGCTGCAATGCCGCCTGCATTGGCCGAGATAACTGCAGATACTACAGAGGCAGTCAAGCACACAGTTTCTACCAGTCGAAAGCAGAGGAAGAGAAGGGCCTGTGCTGTGCTTTCCACTGTCCTTCCTTCTCAAGTCCCAAGTCCAAAAGTTAGAGAAGAATCTAGTCCAGTGAATTTTTCTAAGCCACTTGCCATTCATGTCAAGTCAGGAATGCGTGTACTTGCCAGTCATGTCATGCCCTCAGGGACAGTTTCTGCCAGTTCTCTGGGCTGTTGTCAATGCCTGCTGTCACAGCCACAGGGGTCATTCCTTAGCTGCCTGCTGTCACGACCACAGAGGCATTCTCAGAATCTCTTGCCATTCTTGTCATGTACACAGAAGTAATTCCTGCCAAATATGTTGTGGACACAGAGTTTGAAATTCCTGAGGGTGAATTCCCAGAGCCCGCTCCTGTGAGAGCAGTTCCCAAGCCCTCTCCTGAGAGAGCTGTTCCCGAGCCTTCTTTAGTGGAATTTGTTCCCAAGCCCACTGCTCTTAGAGCTGTTTCCAAGCCCGCTCCAGAAGAAGATGTCGTTTTCGAGTCCGCTCCAGCTCCAAAGAGAGCAGTCACAGAGCCTGATCTAACTCTAGAAAAAGCAGTTCCAGTGTCAGGGGCTCCAGCCCCTGAGCATGGTCCAGTGTCGGCTCCAGCCACTGAGTACAGTCCAGCATCGGCTCCATCCCCTGAGTACAGTTCAGTGTCAGCTCCAGCCCCTGAGCATGGTCCAGTGTCGGCTCCAGCCACTGAGTACAGTCCAGCATCGGCTCCATCCCCTGAGTACAGTTCAGTGTCAGCTCCAGCCCCTGAGCATGGTCCAGTGTCGGCTCCAGCCACTGAGTACAGTCCAGCATCGGCTCCATCCCCTGAGTACAGTTCAGTGTCAGCTCCAGCCCCTGAGCATGGTCCAGTGTCAGCTCCAGCCCCTGAGTATTGTCCAGTATCAGCTCCAGCCCCTGAGTACAGTCCAGTGTCGGCTCCATCCCCTGAGCATTGTCCATTGTCGGCCCCAGTGTCGGGTTTCCTAGTTATGGTTCCCCAAAGTCTGCACCTCCCTGGTCAGCCTTGAAGTTTTTTTGCCTGGTCCTGTTACCACCCGCCCCATCCCGCCCCACTAGCCAGTGCAGGACTTTCATGTTTACAACCACACCTGCACCC